TGTTTTGTCCTTATCCAGCATTAATCAGGACGTGTTCTGACTTCCAGTTATAATTATGTTGTAGAGGATATCAATTATATCTGTGTTACGACGCTAGATAGACAATTTCTAGGATGCGACAGAAAAACAGTTTTCTTTGATTTCAAAGGTCATAATTTATTACCCAAATTTTCAAAATATTATATAATTACAACTGCTCTTTCAACTTATTATCCTTCTACTTTTTGTCTTTTTTGTAGAATTTGTTTAAAATTTTCTTACTTCAAATTATAATTAAATTATAGAAAATATCAACTATATATTTATAAGAAATCAGAAGATTTCTATGATTATAGAAAAAATCTACTAGTTTATTGTTGTTTTCATGTTATACTACTTTTAATGTAATATACTTTTGTAGATGTTTGATTAACATAAATGATATGTTTCTGTATTATAATCCAGGGGTCGGCAACCCGCGGCTCCGGAGAAGAAAGTGCGGCTCCCAATTTTGTGGACAAAAAATTAAAAATTAGAGATTCCGCACTCTCTCTGTTAATTACTAATTTCAATTTTACATGTTGATAATATTCCTATAATAAGACATAATAAATTCCAACCCAATTGAGTCACAAAATAAAATAAATTTATTATTTGCAAGCTCATTTTATATCCATATTATTTTATTTGCATATCTAAATTAAATGTTAATTTAATTGGCGCAAGTGAATACTTAATTAGTATAGATCTCAGACCAATCCTGTAAATTATGAGAGTTTAAGTTCCGAAATCCAATTAGAAACGTATTTTTCTTTTTTCATAAACGCTATCATTAAATGAACTGAAAATGTGTTCATACCATTCAATCGATTTAGAAGCAAAGTGTATACATAAATGAAGGAAGTGTTTATTTTTTGTAAAGAAAAAAGCTTTACTTGCAAAAGTTTTAATTGAATGTCGCAATCATCCAGAAGTTGTAAAGGAATTTATATTTTCAACTCTCTCTCTCGTATACACAGGAGAGAAAATATATTTTAATATGTTAGAAAGTTTTCAAATACATAAGTTTGTTGCATTTCTGTTGCATTTCATATCTAGCTTTCATGAAATGGAAGGATGGGAATGGTCGTCTGTATATAGTTTTGAGTACGTGGAAAAGGGCTTTTATTGAGTGTATACAGTAGTCGAGTTTATAACTCTACAACTATTCTTGATGAGAGGAACTAACTGTGCTATTTCGCGTTACAATATGTTTACGAAACGGCATCGCTGCAGAATTCAATTAAACGCCGTTTTCCCCTTTCAACCCCGAAATCCAATCAGTTTACGTTCGCAAATTATATGATTAACATGTGTTACATATTCTGTCGACCATTACCATATTCCGCATTGAACTACTATTTCCGAACTAAATTGAAACTCATATTTTCGGAATTAATTGCAACTGCAATAAATCAAATTCCTAAATACTATCTCATAAAGACATAAATTGAATAACATTTTATATTGTTCTGGGCGTTTTTCGGTAGATGGCATTAGTGAGCAATGTCTCACGATGTATACGTGCCATCTTGTCATTCTATACTGCAACTTAAAGGCGACATAACGCTAGTGTGCCAGGCAGCGGAATCAGTTGGTTCCAACGCTTCTCTTCTAGTAATATGGACGTCGAAGATGAGACATGCTCTGGTGGCCAATCGTCGAAAATATTGATAAAATCAGAAACCGCATGTGAGCACTTATTTCATTGCCGAGGAACTGAAGATTAGCCAAATAACTGTTTGGAACCATTTGCATAAGGCTGGTCTCAAGAAGTAGCTCGATGTATGGGACAAAACGTTTAGAACTTTTTACTTCACCCAATATTGTTTATTAGGAGTAAATGCCTAAGATATTTTGCACCTCTATTTTTCAATGAATGTCAAATATTTTCAAAGAAAAAATATTGACAATAGTTGCTTAACTATTTATATGTTGTGAAACGTCAACTACTAGACATATGTCACCTAGTTATGATAAAACTAATAATTTCATAGAAACAATATTTGTTTTAGTGAATGTAAAAATGATTTATTTATTCAGAGGTTTTTCTTCTTTAATTGGTCATTCGTAATTCATTTTGGTAAAATATGTGAATTAACTATTTTTTAAGAGAATCGATCACCAATTCAACGTCAACTACAAGAGGAATAACACCTACCGTGTATGTTTAAAACTAGTAATTTAGATTCAAAATTTGAAAAAAAAAATAATAAAATTTTCTAGTTTTTTTCAATTCCTTAACAAGTTTTCCTGACCGGAATAAGTCATTAACGTATTTCATTTTGGTAAATTATGAAAAATTAGGTGATACTAGGGCGGAAAGACCTCTGTCGTTAGCCCTTTGGCCAGCCTATTTATATATATTTTTTTTATTGTATGTTAAAATTTATTTATGTATAAATTGTACTTTTTTTTCTTCTTCTTATGTATTGATGTTTGGCCAATAAATTATTATTATTATTAGGTGATACTAAATAATTTATTGTAGCATAATATATCTGTCTATTTTAATATTTTTTTAAAGAAAATCAATTACCAATTCGAATTAGTGTCAGTGACAAAAGTTGCTTAACTATTGTTAAGTTGAAAAACGTCAGCTCATTCCGCTTAGCGTTTAAAATTGGTAATTTAATATAACAGAATCATTATTTGCTTGAGTGAATGAAAAAAAAATGAAATAAAATTTCCTTGAGGAAATAAAGATGAAATATATTGAATGTAGCAAATTCGATTACATGCAAGGAAATAACGTACGAGTAGAGACATCTGCGTATAAATTTGGCTTTCAATTTTCATGGAACACCTGCGATTTTTCGGTGCCCTTTATCGATCGAAAACAAATGTAGTGTAAGTCCTGAAATTGAAATACAATTTTGGTTACATCAATATTAAAATTTCTTATCAAATTTCTATAGGTAGACCAATATTGAAATACCTTAGATGTGTTTATAAGTTATATCATAAGCTATAAATGAAATAGTGAAATTATTTCATATCACGTACGAATTGCTAAGGTTTTTTCGGAAACCGAGTTTCATTTGGTTACAAGAACTGAATTCAGGTTTTCAGTTGAAAATTTGTATTTAAATTTCTGTAGAATGATGACTTTCTATCATTTTTAGAAAAACAATTGCATTATACTTTCTGTATATCTGACATGAGAATATCCATTTCTTGTTAGTTTCTATTAATTAAAAATAATTAAATAATCTGATTATCACGTGCAGATACAATTACTAAAATCATTGATTTACATATATTAAAAATTAATTAATTTTGTCCATAAATAAGATTACAACAAAAAACTACACAAATGAGAAATTATGTTAAAGGTTATTCCTTTTACGATCGAAGTATAAAACGAATCATCTCATTTGCCTTGAAACGATGTCGTTCTGTCGAGGTAAAAATCTTGTAAAGCTGAAAATTCCATCATCTCATTCTCCAGTTTTTTTTTCTATATTCGTCAATTATAAAGCATAAAAATTGTGTTCTCCCGTTTTGTGCTCGCTCGATCCGATATTTATATAAGTTATTCATAGCCACTTAATATTTGATATTGCTTTTCTTGTGCGCAATAAAATTTGTTTCGTAATCAGGAATTTTACGATCGCGAATTTTATGTTTCCTTTAAAACTCGATCATATTTAAAAAAAAAAGAAGATTATTATTTAACGCCGCTGAGGTTCTGTTTGCTTTATGAAGTGTAATTATTATTTCTTGTAAAAAAAAATACAATGTAATAAAGTAAATTTGTCTTATCTTTAATATTCATGTATACTGGGGTAATTGAAGTCTTATACTTATAACTTACTCTAAATGACTTTTATATATTTCGTTGAAATATTTACTGCAAGTGCTGTCAACTGTTCTTTAAGTGTCACTACTAATAATATGCGGCGATATCACCGCATATTATTAGGTAGTTAACATATTGTGTAGTGCTTATAATCGGTGGCGCATACGGGCCCACGAGTCAATAGGGCCTATAGGATGCAATGCAATGAATATGTTGGTTTGCATTAACGACAATCAAATGGCCGCAAAATTCAATATTTGATGGGGCCCTCAAATTAAATTTTAGTGACCATATATAAAATTACTTGGGGCCCACAAATTCAATCAATGGGCCCCTTAACTTTGCTTGCTCCCAGGTCCATCCACTCATTGCACTCCTTTTTTTTTAATATAAAAAGAACTTTATCCTTCCATGGTACAAATGATGTTTTTGCGTGTAGTTATGACGTAAAGGGTATTTGGCGGGAATAATTCAAATTTTAAAAATGACAACTTTTAATACCAAAAAAAAGATCTGAGATTCGTACATTGTATATTTATAGCTAAATTTGCAAATAACTTGAAGATAAGGTAGATTATTTGGAAGTTTACTTTAATGTTTTAAGTAATTATTATCATTCCAAATAGATTAAAAATGTGTACAATCAATGAAGTAAAACTATGATTACATAATGTACATTAAATAATGATTTTCAAAATAGCTGACACAGAAATTGACACGAAAATAACAAAGTAAGGATGAAGGACATTTATTTTGTGATGTCTCACATACTAGGACAACTGTCCATCATTTAATTCCGGATGTAAGCCGAAAACGTTCGTATACGTTCACAAAAAAAAAGTAGCTATAGAATTGAGCGAGGGGACAGAGCGAAATTATGAAAAGTCCCAATTAAAAAGAAAACGTAATCCGTTTCCATCACACATCGCAGAATACTTTAATCCCTTCAGGGCTAAACTCGCAAATGGAAATGAAACGTGGAGCGAAAGCAGACACAATATCCGGTATTCCATGGAAATAAGTGATAGTTTGCCCGGCAGCGTGTTCTTTGATCTTTTCAAAAAACCCGGAATGTATGTACAATTGAACGCTTCTACTATGTTCAATGGAAAGGTCGAAAAAATATATACCTCATTCCCTACAGCGTGCAACTAATAATCTTTTTTTTGTATCTTTTCAGGCGACCTCTGCAGACCCTTGAACTGTAAGAAGAAGGAGATGTGCCTGCTGGAAGACGCCTTTACGGCCGTCTGCGTGTCCAAGAAAGAACTCCAAAAGAATGGGTGAGTTTTTTTTTACTTAGTTTAATACAAACTTTGTCGACCTACAAAAAACTTAATATTATTTTTTGTATCATCCTTGGAAAGAAATTGTATAAAGAAACATTGGGAATATATTGTTTGCAATTTTCTTGGAAAGTGAATCGAAATTAATTATTTAATTATATTTTTAATTTACTGAGCAATATTCATACGAGGCTATTAGAAAACTAAATTGTTCGAAAATCGAAACTATTAGAAGACAGATTATTATAATAATAATTCATATATCGAATCATATACAAATACAATGAAAATTCGAAAACCGAGACGTTCGAGTACTGAGGTTCTACTATATTTTCATTTATTTATAAAATATTAACGAATTAAATTATTTCCTATTATGTCTTTAATAAACTTTTTTTAAATTTGAGTTACTGATAAATAAATTATGATTTCTTTTATTTGAGACTTGTTTATATAATTTTTCCATGTTTTTTTCTATCGAGTTTTGACGTAGTCTAAAAACTAAATTACTTTTTATGATTGTTAGAACTAAACCTAATACTATATACTCCCTGTATCATATGCGAATATGTATTTCTTTTTTGGGAACCGAAATTGTTTGTACTAGAAAATTTAAAAGTCCAAGACTGAATATGTTCATTTCACGTACTAAAACCACATTTTGTTTGGAAACCGTTACATTTTTCATTTGATTAGTTGAAAAAGTCACGTTCGAGAACTGAATTGTACGATAATTGAGATTTTACTGTAATTAAAATTGAATTCAGTTCATTTATAAATAATATTTCGATTTATATATAAATTTCTATAAAAAATTAGATGTTTACTAAATTACTTTCTTCTATTAATTAAAAATAATTAAATAAACTAATTATCACGTGCAGATACAATTAATAAAAATATGGATTTAACTAATCAACTTTGGAATTCCATTCGAAATTTCCAGTAAAAAAATATCGATGCATTTTCATGTAAATTACATAAGTGTTTTGCGTGTTCGAGTAATCGCACTATTCGCGTCGAAAGGTCATCTTTGCATTTGTACGTGTTTGCGTGTATATTTATAACAGCTGCTGTTTACGGAATACATTCAACAACAAAACAAACTGTTTTCTCGTAATCGCCTGTGATTTATGAATCATTTCCAAATGCTTCCCTAATATTAAACGCGCCATGCAAACAAAGGGTTTTGCGGGAAACGTTCAACCAATATTGGACTGCTTCAATATTAGCGAGCTGTATTTACTCGCAATACTCATAATTATAGCCGCTTTTTTTTATAGAAACGCTTTAAAAACGATTTCAAAGGGTCAAGTCGATTTGAGGAGTTTAAAAGTTTTACAAGGAACTTTTCTTCCTTCTCCCTTCGACGAGCATGTTGTGCCTTCTAATTAGACGATAAGGATTAGGAGGGATTTCAAAGCACTCGCAACTTAATATTACTGATCACTCGGTACACACAATGATGGAACTTTGTCGCTTCGATATTATTCTGAATACTTACATAATTAGTATTCCGTTGATGAGATAAAATCGTTAATTAATTAACTCAGTTTCCATTAGAATAATCAGTTCTACTATTATTTGGTTTGATATACAATTTGTAATAACATTGTGGAATATTTCTGTAATACATTTCTTCTACAAATATTATATTTTTATTTCATACTTTTTGGTTTGAAATCTACAGAAATCTAGTAGAATTTTCTTACATTTAATTCAATTAATTCACATAAGTATTTTAGATTATTGCAAATGAAATCCCACGAAACACAAATAATTATTATTAAAATAATATTTTATTTCATATAATATGATTATTTTTAAAGTTATTATATAATAATTAAACTATTGACAAAAATGATAAATAAATGTGAAAATAATACAGATACATTTCTTTATTGATTATTTTCGGTCTACATTTTTATATAAATTTTATTAGAAATTAATAATGAGAATACTGCAAAAATCACAATAACTTTGTCAATACTTATATACAATGTTTACCTTTAGCTTTCTTGTAAACCTCGGTTAACGAACACAAAATAAAGTTTCCAATATATTGTATATAATATATTTATTGGTTCTAATTTGTTTAATTTTAATTAAATTTTTATACATCTTTTAATGAGGAAAATAGATTCGGTTTTCGAACTGAATTTAGTAGAAAATCAAGTTTTTGATGATAATATAAGAAGACATTTAAAATTTGTTTTTTTAATTTTATTTGTAAATGAATATAATATAATGAAATATTAGGAAGATTTGTATAAAATTTACAAATCGAAAAATTACAAGAAACGAGATTATTTAAAAAAAGTATAATTTTGTTCGAAAACTGAATTTGTTCAAAAATATAACGTGAATGCGAAATTCAGTTCGAAAATCGTTGTATTTTTTGCTTGATAACCGAAGCGTTTGAAAACTGAAAGTAATATAAATTTACAATTTTATTTGTGATATTCAATTATTATTATGGATATCCCAAAGAATTTAACGATTTGAGCAGAAAATTATAAAAATAATTTTTAATGACTTTTGATAAATCCAAATGCAAATAAAACAATATAAAAGCCACAAAAAACAGAAAACGATTTTAAAAATAAATTATTGGAAAAATATTAATTACCAATTACCTCTAATAACGAAGTTCACAATTATCCAATAACAAATAATAAAGATGGCTTGATCAATAGGTTTCGAAAATGTTGATGAAGAGGATGAAAACGAGACAAATAATGAAAACGAAATTTAAAAAAAATCATATCGAAAAAAAATGGAATAAATTTGTTAAAAAATGAAACGTGTATGCGAAATTCAGTTCGAAAATCTTTTTTTTTATATTCGGAAACCGAAACGTTCGAAAACTGAAAGTTATGGAAAATTACAATTGTATTGTGAATTGTGAAAACAATTCAACGATTTTAGCAGAAAATTATAAAAATAATTCTTAATGACTTCCAAATACAAATAAAACAATATAAAATATACAAATAACAGAAAATGATTTTAAAAATATTAATTTTATATGAAAACTGAATTTGTTCGGATATCGAAACCAATTACCTATAATAACGAAGCTTCGATATAACCAAGTCCACAATTGTCCAAAAACAAATTATCTAGATGACTTGATCAATAGGTTCCGAAAATGTTGATGGAGAGGATGAAAACCAGACAAATAATGAGGACGAAATTAAAGAAATTCATGTCGAAAAAAATGGTATAATTTTGTACGAAAACTGAATTTGTTCGAAAATGAAACGTGTATGCGAAATTCGTTTCGAAAATCGTTGTATTTATAAACAATTGTAAAAAGAATAACAGAAAACGAGTTAAAGAAAATAATTTGATAAAATATTATTTTTTATGAAAACTGATTTTGTTCGAATATCGAAACCAATTACCTCTAATAACGATCTTCTATATAACGCATTTATCCAAAAACAAATTAACCAGATGACTTAAGGAAATGCTTTCTTCCACTCCTTTAAAAATAAACATAAAATCACTGAAAATATGATTTCCTCTACTCAACACTCCGATCGTTTAATATTAACATTATTGAAACTATGGAAATATGACCATCACAAAAACAAGTTTAATAATATGCAACTAATTGCATTCAGGTTCGCAACATGTGTACCGGATAAAGTATAACATCATTTGGTTATTATTAACAATAATAAAAAAAAACATACAATATTATGAAGTTGAATTGAATTATGTCCGACCGATAAGCAAAATATAAAAAAAAATTGTGGTTACACGATGCGCACTAATTGTCGATTAATCTCAATTAAGCTCGCCGCATTACCTCCGGATTAATAATTAATGTATGAATAAATAAATAATTACGCGGCGCGCATTTTTACGATAATCGGTTAATTAATCAATCCGCTAACCTGCTCCAATTAATTATCGCAATTATAACAGCTCCATCGGAACGAACGACATCTTAGTCGCATGATTCATTTTTAATTAAATCACTTGCGCACTGTGATTACTTGATTAAGCTTTGTTGAATACGTCAATTATGTGCTATTTATCATTAATTTTTAAATTCTAATTTTATTTATGCTTTTCTACATAATTCATTAATAATGTATTTCAGTTATATTTTCTTATAATTTATGAAAAAAAAATGGAAATGGTTGTTAAGAAAATAAATATAAGAAAAAATAGATATTTATAAAAAAAAAAGTAAAAATGTAACAACAATTATTGAAAGAAATATTCTAAAAAAAGTTTTCAAACATAATTTTTAAATTTTACTGAAAATAAATAAATAAATGTGAATAAGAAACTGGAAAGCTAGTATTCTGATTTGAAAAAAGTAACTGTAGATTCCAATTATATGCGTTATGTAACGAGATTAATATAAATTTAATCGTAATTTATTTGATTATGTTAATAAATTATATAGTTCTAATTATATTTATTTATGGATGCAAGTATGCTTTTTTTTTATAAAACACTTGGAATCAAGGTCAATAACTTGTTTGTATAATCGGATTAAAGTTGGATGTACGCGTTTCTGAGAAAATTTTGCTTCGAATGCGATTCAAGCATCCCACAGGGTTGTCTCTTGTGTACCATTTCATATATTTTTATGTTGGAAAGATTCCAGTGAAAATGATCAAATTTTGCTGACAATAGTGGATGAAAATCCAATTTTCGCATGTAATCCAAGAATAGCTCAATTTTCGTGATTTAACATACGAAATGTCCTTACTTGTACTAAAATAAAAAAAATATTTATATACACTTTGATAGAAAATTAAAGAACCTTCTGCACATATCAAAACCAGGAAGATATGAATTAAATTTACAAATCGAAAATTACTTAAAAAATATATAGTATATATAGTTGAAAAACTGAAATTATTATTGTGGAACTGAAATGAAGAAAACTATAAAAATTATAAAACTACTTTTTAATTACTTTTGATAAATCAAAATACAAATATAACAATATAAAAGAAGCTACAAATCACATTAAAACGAGTTAAAGGAATTTATTTGAAAACATATTAATTTTGTTCGAAAACTGAATTTGTTCGAATATCGAAACTAATACACTTGTTTTGATTTTTACGTGTCTGTTGGAAAACCGAGTTTTTTTTTTTTCGAAAATTGTATCTGTTATATTTATGTTCGGAAACCGAATCGTTTAAGAACTGAAAGTTATATAAAATTATAATTGAATTTATGATATTCAATTATTATGGAACAGCAAACTGTAAGAAATATACAAATAAAACAATATAAAATCTATAAATAACAGGAAACGAGTGAAAGAAAATGATTTAAAAAAACATGAATTTTGTTCGAAAATTGAAACTATTACACTTTTATTGTTATTATTGTTACGTATCTGTTTTTCAATTTGTTCGAAAACCGAAACTTGTAATATTCACGTGATTCCTTGCCAGTTGGGTACTAAAATGAGTATTTTATGATTTATTTATGTTCGAGAACAGAAGCGTTTGAGAGTTTATTTTATAGTTAATACAATAATTATTGTATATTTTATAAATTTTCAGTGTTTAAAAACGTATTTTATGAATCTAGTTAAATACTTATAGAAAATTGAAAGTTTCTTCGATATTTTCAGTGGAAGTTCAGATTTTGAACATTATTGGTTACTAAATGCTGTTCGAAAACCGAATATGTTATATGTTGTTTGTACGCTGTATGTTCGGGAACCGAGACATTCGGGACTCTTTTTAGCTAAAATGTTTTGAAAATATAATTAAAACTATATTTATATATATTAGAATAGATATTCATTATTTTTCCGTATTTACTAATATAAAAAATAAATAGTATAAATCATAGTTAGTTCTGTGTGTGTGTTTATGTTTAGTGTAATGACATATGATGTTGCGACAAGCAAACAGAACGAAAAAGAAACGAAACTGAATTGGGGAGACGATAAATTATATGATTTATATCTGATGCAGGGACGTCGTCATACCTAAATCAATGTCAACTACAGCAGAAGCCAGCAGGAAACAGCGGCAGGATTCAATCGACGAGTCCGATGACGATGTGTTTTACGACACCGAGGATGATCCTGACGACGACACCGACGAAGACATGAGCGATGCCGCCACGTAAGTTCTTTACTTTATTCACAAATAAAACCTAAATCTTGTACACGTCTGACAGTTATTTCCCTCGCGTACTAATTAATATCCTCGGGTCCTTTTATTACACACTGAAGTTCAACTGTTACGTTGACAGTAGACATCTCAGCTTTCTCCATTTGTTTTTATTGTTTCAACCGAGAAGTTTTATAAATTTGTTTTCTTGTAGTTGAATTAATGATTATAAAAAAATGCCAGATTTAATTGTTATTTGTACTAACATAGGAAAATAAAGTAAATTAAAGAAAAAGCAAAATTTCACAATTTTGTATCAAAAGATTTTCTGAAGACATAATAATTTCATAATTAATCTACAGTTAATGAAAATTTGTAAATTAATTGTGAATTAATCATAATGTGTTATTAAAATCAAAATTAATTTTATGTCTCGCTTATGAGAAAAATGCTTTATTTTTTTTGTTTTTTCAGTGTAGATGTTTGTGTATATATACTTTTTAATTAAAACAGAGTTTTGTGAAGGAAGAAAAAGTTCAGTACCAAAAACACACGGTTTGTAATTGAATTTTTACGTAAAATTCGGAAGCATGCGGAAATTTCAATACGCCATTGATTTAATTAAAAAAAACAGGCTGTGCCGGAATGTTTCCATGTCAAAAGGCGGACCTTAGAACTTGTAGAGTGAATGAGAGAGGAAGAGAGAGAAATGGAGAAAAGGGAAGTGAATGCAAATTGGTTTTCTCCAACATATAAACTCTCAGGTTGAGAGTAAAGGAAAGAAGAAGAATATACGGCAAAAGGCCGTCAAACTTTTCAATCCAAAACCTCTGGAACTTTTGATTCGATTCCGAAATAAGCTTTCGTGTCTTTTGTATCGCAGCTAAGAAAGTTAAACAAAATTTTAAAATTCACCTGGATAATGAAAATAACCTTTTTTAAAAAATCATATTTTTTATACGCAGTGTGCTATGAAGTATTATTAATGTGTTTTTGTTGGGCACTACTATTGCTTGTGTTTTTCTTTGGTGGATGCGCTGGGTTATATAAAGCTCGGAGGGATAACATTTTATGCGTTTTTCCTTAACGCGAGTCCAAATTTATATCGCTGCATATAAACCGAAACAAGACGACGCAAAGGGCGTAATAATAAACAACAGATAATAATAACTTTATTGCGGCCCCCCCTTTTTACACGCCGTATAAATATCGGGATGGCTGGCTTTTGTTTGTTACACGTTGTGCTGTGCCCTTTTTTTATGACTCGACGTATTTTATCGGGTCGGATTCTCGATATTTCCACTACTTTAGCTCTTTTCTGGATGAGATATGTTTAAGGTATGGAAGTCTGCAGATTTTCAGTGAAAATATTAAATATAGTTCTGAATTATACTTATTTGCAAGTAAATTGAGTAAATATTTTTATTCAACATTTTCTCATATAAATTCTTTCAATTCGTATGTGTGTAGTAACATTTGTAAAACAAATCATGGAAATCACGTCTCAATTAGATAATGATTATTTTTAATGAAAGAAATATATGACCAATAAATAAACTATGAAAAACACTAAATTATGACAATAGTCAAGTCAATTTTAAATTTTGTAAATGTTGCTTGAAAATGTCCAATATTAATATAGGGAAAATCCTGACAACAATTTACTTCCGAACTTATTTTAATTAATTTTCTCGTATGAAATAAAAAGAATGAATATATTATGAAAAACAATAATTTATCATGGATTTTACTTGACAGTAGTAAATTTTTAATTATGTAAATTTTGCTTGAAATTAGTCCAATTTTAATGTCGGGAAAATTCCGACAACAAATAATTTATGTAAAATTAATTGATCAACAGTTTAATGTCGGTAATATTCTGACAAAATACAATTTTGATGTCGCAAAGTTTCTTAAGGTCCTCAACCATTTGTACGATATTGGTATTCATACTTAAGTGATGATAAAATCGAATTATTTTAAGTCTCATTCATTTCAATTGAGAATTACACAAATATTGACAATTTCAGGTTTTGTATATAGCGCTTTTCGTATATACTACTTTTCGTCTTTAATGTCGCGAAAATGCAGAAAACGTAAAATTTAGCTGTCAAGGAAGAATTTTCAGGTCTAAGACTAAGTAATCATTATTAAAATGCTTATCATAATTATATAACACCCACATTTGACAAATGGAATTTTAAGACAATTTTTCTTTTTATAAAGGTGCGTCTTATTCAACGTGCTTTTCTATTTATTACTGAGTAATGAATTAGAGACTGACACAAGTATGAAACACAATAATTGAGTATTAATTTTACTTGATAATAGTAATTTTATGAAAAGGTAGCTAGAAAACAGTAAAACTACAATGTCGGAAATATCCCGACAATATACAATTTTGGACATGTATGGACTACAATATATTTTTCTGCGATCATATTTAACTATAAATTATTTACTAGAAAACATAAAATTGCTCATTACTGAATATTTTTCTCAGATAACTTTTGTTTATTTAATACAAAATCATTGATTAATTACTAATTAAAGATTAAACATATATCTAATTATATTTGAAAATAGTTCAATTGTAAAGTCGACAAAATCGCGACAAAAAGTAAAATTTATTTGGATTGAAAAATATCGCTCGTAAAATGTCGAAAAAATCTTGACAAATTAAAATTTTGGTTGTCAGTAGAAGTTTTGGTCCTTCGTTAAAATTCATTTGGAACTTCGGACGGAATTAATTCCGCTCAGAGGGGTTGCACACCGTCCGCAAACGCCCCGAAAAACGCTAACGTTAGCGCGGTTTTCCGTTCGAATGGAATAATTGGAAAATATAAATGCGATCGTAAATCATTCCCAACTTTATACTTTGACGGTATAATGGCAAATCCTCATTTACATGAGAATTTAATAGGATTAGTAGAGACCTTAACAGGCCAACGTGGATCATAAATTATCCTTGATAGTGCTAACAAAGCGCGGAGCAGATGCGGCGCCGAAAAAAACTGTTTAATCCCAGAGTCTTGCGTAACGCGAAACACCATTAGGACGCCAAAGAAAAAAAATGAAATTATAAATAAAGAAAAAACTGACTATAATTACGCATAATAATTAAGTTCACTCGTGAGTTGCTGATTGAAATGTCAAAGAAATAAATGGGAATTGCGTTGGGTCGTCCTTTATACGTTTATAATCCGCATCAATATTTATCGTGCGCGATTTGCATAAACGAGACTGAAAAGCCACAATAAATCCAATCAATGCTTTATAAATATGCTTTTGATAACGTTTATCGCGCGTCCAACGTTTTTGGCGACTTTCCAAGCGCGTGGAAATTCGATTTTCCACCCACCACGATTTCATCCGCTTCAGTTTTCATTTGTTTCGTTATTATTTTTGTTTGCTTGTTTTCGGGTCGTCCTCGACCGTAAAGTTTCATAGATCGCACAGGAAAATTTAATTTTCCACGGAACAAACAATCTGGAGAGCAGTTTCGAAATCCGCATGGAATTTTATATTGTATTGAATTACGCCGTCGGAGTTTTCGCTTCCGCTATTGATGGATCCGTTGTTTTTAGTGTTTGCACATCAAAAGAGACACCACATCCATTTCGATATTTATGAAGAGGAAAAGTTATATATTTCTGCGAGTTCTTATTTTCTTTCTTTCATCTTTGAACTTTGTCGCCCTTTGTTCACAATTACTTCCATTAAATTGAACAAACAGTAGATTTCGGTAGTCTCAATAAAATACTATTATTGCTATGTTAGTATTGTTAATTGTTACTACTTTAATTTATAATTTCTCATCGTTTTGGGTTGTCCGAAAAGTTCGTGCAATTTGCTAAGTAAAAATATCCATGCATAAATATACCAGAATTGTTAAAAACAATTAATTTGTGTACATAATTTATAAAAGTTTGGTTCGGATCAAATGATTTGTGACAGTTTAGTACCGTTTTGAAGATGGAAGAAAATAATGTGCATTTTAGACTTTGATACTTTTTATTACTGTAAAGCAAAAAATGCCACTAAACTAATAACTTTCTGCTTACGGAGAAGTTGCTTTAGCTAAATGAACTTTAGGATTCTCTAAATTTAGAGCTGATGATTTAATCCTTAAAGTTCTGCTAGAAATAATGATGAAATCAATGCATTTATCGAGAATAATCCGCATTACATGACACGTGAATGAGCAGAGATATTAAAAACATCAAAAATAACTATCAACCAATGTTTTTGAACCGTTAATTGAGTTTTTCATAATTTAATGAACAAAAATTACGACAATATCAGCCCTTACATTTCTTTTACTACTCAACAAAAAATGTTTGAGTCGGACAGATTTGTATTTGTCCACCCTTAGTACTTTCCGATTTCCACAAATTTAGGTCTTTGCAAAATTCCATTAACTGCAAGAACGATTATTTTTTAGTCGACATAAAAAAAAACACCTGAAGAAGTTTTCAATTCTGGAAGGATGTAATGTTTAAGTTGCGTGAAAGATGAATAAAGGTTTATGGATCAAAGTCTATATATAAAAATTTAGATTTTTAATTTTCATGAAAAATCGGCACCAACTTTCTGAACAACCCAATATTATTCCATATTTGATTTACACGAAGTCTCCAATAACACGTTCCAAAATTTTGATCCTCGTATAACACGTTTATTTTTAATAGAATTAATTCTCATCAATGCGAATGTCCATTAACCGTGTTATTCAAGAATTAACTATACATATGTATTCAAAATAAAAACTGAAGATAATGCAAAAAATCCAAAAAAAAAAAATGGGAAAAATAAATTTTCTTTTGAAAAAAAATATCATAAAAATATATGAATACATTCAAAGTAGGCGTAATAATGCGAGAAATAAATCAAATAATCTATATTGATATAATTACATAATAGTAATATGAATACTATGAGACTTTAGTAAGCCCATAAATAATAATGAACACACTACGAAAAATTACAATAATTGATCAAATAAACTATCA